ATAATTATGTTTCTAATTGTGTAAATCCAGAATTTTGTATATGTTTACCGTAACTATTTGTATATAATTTATGAAAAAAATCATAATAAATTACTATGTTTGTATATTGACAAGTGAAATATACAAACGGAGTTTTGAAAAAATCCTATATATAAATACATAATTTGTATATACTTACCCTATTTGTATATTCGCAAGCGAAATATACAAACGGGCAGAAATATGCAACCACCGCTTCCATAGCAAACAAAACTATAGTTATGAAGCGCAATTATCAAAACTATATAGAGCCTTATTATGTCCGCTATGTTTGCTATTTCTGAAATTTTCTCTTACTAATCTATATATCTATATATAAAGTTAGGTAAAAAAGAAGTGATGTGGCACTTCTCAATGGCCAAGAATCATATTTATCTTTTTTGTATTTTTTTTTATATTTTATTTTATAAAAGCATCTCTTTAATTCATATCTCTTCAATTACATAATTAATTTAGTAACATCTATAACTTCTAAGTTCTAACCTTTCATATTCATAACCTTCAAATTATTTAATATACAATTTTATAACTCCTTAAAATCACACTAATAAAAACCTATTTTGAGACATGTATGATGATTGGTTTATTTTATTTTTTTTTATTCTTCATTTTTTGTCTCATTGGTTGGTTAATTTTTTCTCTTCTTTGATCTAATTTTGCAGGAGAGATATCTATAATGAAGAATATCAGACATTTTTGCATAGTTTGCTTTTACGAGGTAAAATGATTCGATATGCATAATATAATTATCACTTTTTCTATTGTAATTATATATTTAATTATTTTTTTGGATTCTTGATTATATGAATCATGAGTTTTCTTTTAGAAAAAAGTATTTGATTTTTTCTCTTTGCTTCTCTTGTAGGTTCCGTCTTTCTTCTTTATCTCATAACTAAATATTCGTTAAGGTTTTTACTTGATTAGTTAATTTTATTTTTATGGTTTTTTTGTTGTTTAAGGTTAACTTACTGTGTTTTCAGGTCTGCATATTTTTAAAAATAAAAGTAGAAAAGGGAGTTAATATATACATGTATGCTACTCAAGAAAGCATGTAGATGTAATATTATAGTTATGTGGATCAACATTTTATTAATTATAATGATAGAACATGAGAATGTAAAGTTAATTAATTTTCAAAATACAATATAATTCATAATTGACTATTAGTACATAAGTTTATGATCTTTTATTATTATTATTATTATTATTAATATTATTATTATTATTATTATTAATATTATTATTATTATTATTATTAATATTATTATTATTATTATAAGAAGTTCTTAAGTTTTTGATTCCCTCTTTTGTAAAAAAAATAAAAAATAAAAAATTAAATAGTAATTCTATTAAAAATATTTAACATTTGTTGTTTGAAAGATTAATACTACTTAGGAGTATATAAGTTTCTTGTTTCGTACAATGCTTAAGTGAGTCTTCCCTATTAGAAATGTCTATTGATTATAGTACTTTAAGATCGTGTGTTATTGCAAAATTTATTAAAATTTACTTTTGTAAATGATAATTATTATTGTGTTTCATGAGTTACAAAAAAATATCTAACTATTTGCATTCTTTACTTAAATATCATGTCTCCTCAACCTTCTTCTATTTAATTTTTCATGATTAATCAATCTATAAATAACAATTCTCCATGGAGTTGTTTAAAAAATATTCTCATTATTTAAAATAATTAAATGGAGAGCACAACCAAGGAAGGAAAAAAGTTGTACAATACACTAATTTTTCACAAGAAAAAAATACCAACAATATTAGAGAATCATGTAACATTATACGTTAATGAACTCACATATATGAATTACTTTTTATACAATTACACCATCCTAAACTAATCCTTTACCCCTTTTCATTTACTATATTTGCATAATAAATTAATAACATATCTTTCATAATAAACAAATAACCATACAAATCCCCAACTTTCCTCCAATTATTTATCAAAATCTTGACACTTATCTTACCACAAACATTTAACAAATTCAAAAAATTAATTCATAATTTAAACAATTAAGTGGAAAGCACAACCAACAAATAAAAAAAAGTGGTATAAATACCACAAACAAAATTAAAAATATCAAGACACACCATTTATCTTCATAGTCATCATATGCTCATAGTGGTTTATTGAGGTTAGTTTTTCCAATGTTCAATATTATTATATTTAAATTACATTTTATTGCAACACTTTATCCTTAGTTTAACTTTGACAAACTTATACAGAAGTACTACAATTGATAAGAAAATTATGGATCATCCCCAACAAATTAGTTTGGAGAATTGTCAAGGTAAAATATTAATGTTAATATTCATAACTATATTAAGTTGTATTTCTATACCATTAACAAAATATTTATTTTTGAATACAGATGCAACTGAAAAATCAAGCAAAGCGGTTAAAGTGATGTATGAAAATATTATGCAATAGCAAATTGCATATTTTAAAAAGGAAAAAGAGCGATTGAAAAAATATATACACCGAAGAATTTCACTAGATCAATCATACAAAGAATGACATGACGTTTTTCATGTATTAGTTTCAATGTAATACAAAGATGAAATATTTTTTTATTAGAGAATATATTCTCTAAAAATCAATCTAATAACAAATGATAAGACGTTGATGTATTTCTTTATATTTTTTACTGTTAGTTTATGTTGAAAACCATTTCAAAAACATTCACAAAAGTATCCATAATAGATATTACAATATAAAAGTTCAATCTCCCTGGTATCTTAATAAAAAGCAAGGAGGACCATCAAAAAATACTAACAATTCCCCATTCAGTGCAATGGAAATAAAATAATTTTAATTTTTAATAGAGCATGTATCATTTCAAATGAGAGATAATGATACGATTGGATAGTATGATGATATAATTAATCCACAAGAAAAATTATTCTAACACATATTTTTAACCCTCGCAACCATGTTCTCTAGTATTATAATTAAGTCTTAAGAATTGCCACATCACCTAAGACTACAGTTACATTTTCTCTTTGAATCAGAAGCAAGACTTAATATTATATTTGGACATTTTTTCACACTGGGCTTCAACAACCGAAATACTGTAGGTCCAGTTCTATTGGCCCAATTTTGTTGTAAATACGTATATACACACAAATACAAGGGAAAACTACAAGCAAACATAACTATTGTGTCTACTATATAATATAGTTATAATTTTGAAATATTATCTAATATAACTATTCTCAAGGTTTTATAGCAAATCTCTCCACTCGCTCCCAGCTCTCTCCCTCTCTCGTCCCTCTCCGAAATTTTATTGAATAATATTCAAGAAAAAGAGTCTTATCATGTCTTTCTCTCCCTCTCTCTTCCCTCTAACCACATGTATATATTGAATGCAACCTATACCAGATTGTATGTGTTTATATAACATGTATACGTTGAATATATCTTGTATCTAACATCTTTTCTCTCTCCCAAATCATTGATTGCATCTCTCCTCCTTCTAACTTAGTTATGCATCGTAATTATGCAAATTATAGCTATAGATCTCTAATTTAGTCCAAACTTTAGTCATTTTTTAAAGTTCCGCTATAAGCACAATTACATTTGCAATGGAGTTTTAAAAAGATTCATATCATCTCGCTCTTCTCATGTTTAATAATTGGGCCTTTAAATGTTTCTCTAGGTCCAAAGTCGAAACAAAATGATTAACAGCTTGAAATTATCCCACCAAATCAGTGTAATCACATTAGATTATCATTAACCCAACATGTTATTTGACCCAAATTACATGTGTGATATTGTGTGTTGAGTGAAGTAGCCAGCATGAAGAGTTCCTTTTTGGAGGCTGATTTTGAGAGATCAAATAACTTCTTAAAAATTATTAGCGCTAATCCTAATCGGGGACCCTTTTACCTAAAAAAAAAAAAAAAAGGCCTAATATACCCTTCAATTTTATCATTTAGAGCTGATATATCTTTCGTTGTTAATTTAAAATTATTTTTTCACTTCTATTAGAGGAAAATGATATATGTGAGCTATTTGTGTAATAATAAGAATATATATGGGTCATTTTCATAACAACTCAACAAAGGTTATATCAGCTCTAAACAGTTTTAATTAATATTCCCTCCGTTTTAATTTGTTTATCTTACTTTCCTTTTTAATTTGTTTCAAATAGAATGTTTTTTTTTGCAACTTTTTGATTATAAATTTTTCTCATGACAGGTTTATATTCACCAAAATAAAATGACATTTTAATACGTTCTACATATCTTTAATTTGAGATCACAAACTAAAAAAATAAAAAAATCTTAAACTCTGTCTCATATTTGTCTTATGTTATACAAGTGGTACAAAAGATACTTTTTGACTTTTCGATGCTGAATTATTAATATATAGTCCCTTTCATCCATATAAACAAGTCATTTATAATAAATAATAAATATACTTTTTAATTTGGCTTTATTTTATATTTATGCTTTCGAACTTTATGTGTGTACAAATAGACATTAAAACTTGTATAAATTTGAATAAATGACATCCTACATGGCAATATGTGTCTTACGTTGTGTTCTACGTGTATTATGCCGCATAGGACTCATGTGTATGGTTGTTCAACTATATACAAGTTTAAATATCTATTTGTGCACACCAAAGTTGAAAAGTATAAATATAAAATAACATCAAATTAAAGAACACATTTATATATTATGCCTAAAAATAATAACAAAAAAAGTTAGTAAAAAGATAGATACAGCTAACCATGGGAATCTTGTCCTTACATAATACTATCTCCGTCTACTTTATTTGTCATGTTACGTTTTTCGAAAATCAATTTTGACTCATTTTTAAAGTTAAATTAGATTGCATTAATTTGATATTTTAAACAAAAAAATTTGATATTCAAAAACTATACGAAAAGTACTATAAATTTCATTTTCTCGCACATCAAAATACAAATTAAATCACAACACCATAAAAGTCATCAATTGGACCAAGTCTAATACCATCAAAGTCATCATCTACAACTCATCAACCAACACCAATTTCTAACATTAATTAATGTCACAATTAAAAATAAAAATAAAAATAAAAACATATCGGAAAACCGCTCTTAGATACCGGTTAATCAAGAGGCGAATCTAGTAAAAGAGCTAGGAATTTATTCGAATCACTAGCCTTGACTTAAATTCTATGTTAAATAATACATACAGTAATAGATTTCAAACCTAAAATTTAATCAAAACCCGACCTGTAAAGTTCAAATCCTGAATCCGTTTCTGATTACGAAACCGTTAATCCAAGAACATCAGCAGCAGATCTTCCCATAATATTAGCAAACTCATTAAAACTTATAACACCATCACCATTAGTATCAGCTTCTTGCATCATATCAGATAACTCCTTATACGTTAACGGGCGACCCATTTTAGCCATTGACCCGGCCAGCTCAGCAGCCGTTATGTAACCGTTACCGTCTCGATCGAACGATCGAAAAACCTCCATTAATTGTTCTTGATTTATTAAAATTTCTGCATTCATATCAGGCATAATGGCATTTACGAGTTCATCGAATTCGATGAACCCGTTGCCATTATTGTCCATATTTGCTAATAATGTATGGATTTGATCGCCCGTTGGTTTGAGCCCTAGGGCACGAAGAAGCGCGGCTAACTCTAGTTGTGTGAGGCTTCCATCATGATCAAGATCGAATCGTCCGAATATTTCTTTGAGTTGTTTGAGTTGTTCATCAGATTGAAGGCTAGCCATTATACGAACGTATATATTATTATTGAGCTCGTAATAATACCTCGATATTTTGAAGAAAATAGAAGGAGAGAAATGAAGAAGTTTGAGATGTGTTTTTTTTTTGGATATAATGATATAATGAGAAACCGTGTGAGGGAAAGAGAGAGGAAACTGTAGAGGAAATTTTTTAGGAATATTATTTTATTGAAGTGATATAAAAAGATTGTGAATTATTATTGGTTTGACGTAAATATAGGAAAATTTTGTTGTAATTCTTAAAATATTAACTAGTTTTGGATAATAACAAATTTTCTTATATATATATAGACTTATTACTTGTTTTTTTCTTATATATTAGGAAAAATCCTTTTGGCCAGAATTTGGCCAGAATGATATTTTAGCCATGTTATTTTATCTTTTTTAACATTTTTATCCTTTTAACTTTAATACCTTTTATTTAAAAAATAAAAAAATATCAGTTTATTTTAAAATATAAAAAATATTATAGAATTTTTAAATTTCTGGCTAAATTTTCTGATCATTTAGCATTACCCTGTACATTATATATATATATATATATAGACTTACTTGTTTATTTTTATTTTTATTTTCTGAATAACAGAAATACTGTATTTATTGAACTTATTCATGGCTGTTAGTGCCACCGAAAGTGACCAGACAGTTTGTCATTCAATGAATGGTTGGTGAAGCCATTAATGGAAATCCAAAAATAAAATTAAAAAAGACAATGAATGGAAAAAGGCCAGTGTTTAACTTTCATTACATTTTCTTACGATTATTTTTGCTTTGAGTCGAAGGTTTATTAAAAATATGCTTTTCTATCTTATATTTGAAGAAGAGGTAGTTCAGAGTACTCATCTCGTGGAACTATACTGAATATGTTATTATTGTAGTAATGACTTGACAAGTCTTTAAGTATAAAAAGTAAAATGACAATTTTATTATATTATCATTTGAATATAATAAATTTAATATATTAAAAAATACATTGGGGAATCACTATAATTAATAAAGGTAAATTAGGAACTTAAATGATAATTATTTTCTAAACTGGACAAATATACATCAACTTTTAGTATAGTGAATAAGTAAAAGTGGATAGAAAGAGTAGTGATAAAGTTAGAAATTTCGTTATGAGTGTTCAATATCTAATATAAATATGAAAAGAAAAAACTGACTTATATACTTCATATAATTTTCTGTATACATTAATATAATTTTTCAACTAATGATATTCAACTAATCACTCTTACTATATGTCATATAATTTTTCATTATCAAGTAATATATAAGGTAAAATTAATGCTAATTAATCATAGTTAGATTAAAAAAAAAAACTTTATATTCAAACACATAACATGTTGATTCGATGCCAAGTGGTCAACTTTAAGCACAGTGGGAACACTAGCATGACTGAATCAAATAAAAGAATATATGAGTCTTAACATTTACATAAGAAGTCTTCAATTTTCCACTACTTGTTTTTTTAACGTACTACAATTAAAAAAAATATACTATATGATAAGAGTACCAAAAAGATTTTTTAGTTCACTCTGTATCAGGGTAAATTAATACACTAACATAAAACGAATCGATATAACTCCAGGCAAATAAATACAAAGCAAAACTCATTATGTATTGTATTTTTTTAGAACTCTTCCTATTTCAGATAAATACATGATAGATATTTGCTCAAGAAGGGGACCATTTCTTGATTTGTGCGTGTCATTCTAGCACAGGGATCATGTTAATCACTATATCGTTCTAATTTTATCAGATATCCGCGAAGGAACTGAAGGACCTGTACATTTCATCAAGACTTGCATTGTGACCTTCTTGAACAAGAAAGGAAATGAATGAACTCTTGATCAGTTGTACCAGTTACTTACAGAAAAAATGCTGTCAAATTGCAGAAACTACACGTATGTCAAGCTAAAAGGGGACCTACTTTACAAAACTTAATCAGTGTACCTCTCAGCTAAAACAGCCTTTGATATATTAACAGATGTTTCATCTAAACATGTTCAGACAACTCTCTACTATAATTGGTGCTTTGACTCGAAAAATCTGAATTAACATCTTGACTAGGAAATGCCATCCTTCGAAACAATCTTATCTGTGCAGATTGCTCAGCAGAGTTATATATTGCACTTTCACCAACTTTCATCCCGTTTGTCAAATCAGACATTAGCATACTATCAAAAGCTCTCATGATCTGCGTAAGCATAAGCATGACGAGAATGTAATTTTTCTTCTGTTTAAGAAGACTTGAGGTTGTTTGAGTGTTAGTTTTCCAGTAAGTAAATGAATTTACCTGTCCCATCCCTGGTCTCTTTGCAGCTGAGTGACGCACACAAGCTGCAGCAATCTCAATCATTCGAAACATCTCACTGTCAATGTAATTATTCCCAAGGCGAGGATCTGTCAACTGATCAAATTCCCCTTTTTCAAGTGCATTACCAAGCAAAGGTCGAGCCTGGAAGCAATCAAATTAAAGTGCAGTTAGTGGATCCTGCTCGACAAAATGAGAAGGGATATAAGATCTCTGTTGCTACTGTTATTGGTTTTTGGTTCTCTAATGATCGATTAAATGATTAAATGGTTGTTGCAGTTTCAAGTTTAGACTTGTCTTAGGATCTACGGTTTTGGTAACATGAGCAAGTTGAAACGAAATTTAAGCAGACAACTTCTGTGGAGTTGTTGCTTTGGTTGTTGCAAAAGCAACCAGACCTCAATGTTTCAGGTGTTAAACGAATGATATTACAGGACTGACTACATAATTCTCAGTACTATCTGAAACCAAGTCAGGACCATTGTACGACCGAATCACTAAATAGAGTATAAGAAATGAAGATAGAATCATCCTGTTGGAGAAATCAAAGCAAAAAGTCTGCCTTATCAGATCTCAATGATCAGGACATCCAACACAACGTTAATACTCAAATAACAAATTGATTTGATGCACTCAGCACTAAGATATCAGGTTCAGCGAGACATGTTTTTCTGACAGATTCCGCTATGCTGCTAAGTCCAACCGATATGTTTAATATAGAGACTTGAGGGCTTGGGAGAAGAGAGTTATCCTTTAAATATATGTCATCTCAATTCTATGAGACAAAAGAAAGCAGCATTATTCCATCCGAATATGTAAGAATAGCTGAAAGAACCATAGAAAATATAAGATTTGGGCCTTTTCCTTGTAATGAACAAAGAAATAAAAGCATTTAGCTTTAGTAGATCATGTTAAGGTTGTTATATTTTAAAGTTTGGATGAGCTGCACAGAGCCTAGCTCATCCTCTCTCGAGTCTTGAAAATTACTATTCAAACATAATTACTTAAAGGACTGAACTATGTAAACCAGTATATCTATTTGGTCGTTCTAATAGATAGTTAGTATGGGTGTGTTCAGTATGGAGGAAAATATTTTCCAATTTTTCAATGTTCGGTTGGTCAAAATTTTTGGAAAACATTTTCTTAAGAAAAATCAGCTCCTTAAAAATGAGGAAAATGATTCCCCAAAGAAAGTAGGGAAAACAAGTTCCACAAGTGACCCTTCCCACTCTCCAACATACCTCATCTTCACCTCCCCCCCCCCCCCCACCCCCCCCGCCA